CTTGAGCAACTGTAAAAATCTCAAATACGTTTTTTTAAATTTTAAGTAAATAAAAATCCTAATTTAATTTATATTTTTTTAATTTTTACTTATGTTTATTTTTTTAATGAATTAATATTACCCATCTTTTTAATTATTTCAAAAAAAATAAATTATGTAAAAAAATATTATACATAACAACAATAATATTTGATAATAAAATAATTTTTAAATATCTTATATTAAAAATTAAAAATATTTATCATAAATAAATTTCTCATTTTTAAAAACTAAATTATTAAAATGATTCTTTAATAGTAGATTGAAACATTTAATAAATGATAAAAATACTAAAATTTACTAAAAATATTCTATTTTATATAGCTTTAATACAATCAGTGATTAAGGAATATAGAGTATCTTAAATAATTTTAGTAATTATACTCAAATTAGGAGCTTAATTTTACATTTCAGGTAAATTTAATTTATAAATTAAAACTTATTCTTCGATTGATACATACTTAAAGTTTTACATTAGCTTGAAAAAATATGAAAATTAACTCATACATAAAATAATTATTGGGATTAGAAAAATTTATTAATTTAGACTTTCTTTTTTAAAATTATTAAATAAATAAATAAATAAATAAATAAATAGTTCATACAAAAATTTGATTTCATAGAACAAGCATATTAGAAAAGCACTTAAAATAAAAAGATTAGTTATATTATAATATTCATTTTGAGTTAATAATTAATTAAGCTAAATCAAACCTATCTGCTACTGTATTATGTTTTTTCTGTACTCTTAAATTCTTGTAAATTATTGCTTCTTAATTTGTTTTAATAATGTTATAATCAAATAATAGTTTCATTTTAAACATTAGATAAATATTAAAAATAAATTAATCTAAACTCTTTTATAATTTATCATTTACTTAAATATATATTAATATTTTATGTGATTTAAACATTTTTTTAATATTGTGAATTTATATGGGCAAAGGTAGATAGATAGATCTTGTTACATTAATCAACTCAGAGATTAAATTATTTCATAATAGAATTTCCTTTATAAATTAAAGAGGCAATAATATTAATTAATGTAATATCTCAAAAATCATAAAGTTTTTTAGTGAAATAAATAGAATTTAAAAATACACTGACAAATAATAAATATTGGAATTATAAGATATTAATGGTTTCAGTAATACTTTATAATCATAGGCTATATACATATTTAATAATATAGTTTAATCAAAGCAAACATTCTCATTTTTTATTTCCTATTAAAAAAAGAAACTTTTAAATTGAATAAAAATAAATTACAAAAAGCATAAACAATATATTAATTTTCTATCCTCAATCATAATTATTTTAATTAAATACAATTAATTGTATAGCTTATTCATAGAGCTATTGATTTCGCAACTAATCTCTTAAATTTAAAAATCTTAATGACTAATCTCTGTTTTTAGGCATCTGAAAGTTAATTCTACCTTTTCAATATTTATTATAAAATTTTAATAGAATTTCAATAAAGTTATAAATTATTTAACATAAATACTAAATAAATAAAAATTATAATTTAAATTTATTAAATTAAAATGGAAATAGATTGAAATAATATAATAAACAAAGGAAAAAAAAATTAATTAAATAGTTTATTTTTCATGAATTAAAATATTAAAATATTAAAATTAAAAAATAAAAATAAACTAAAATATTAATACCTAAGTTGGAATGTCAAGTTAGAGAGATTAATACATTTTGCTAAACAAGAACCTAAAGCAACTACACCTTCTACACCAATTTGGTTGTTACTTTTTAATTTATTATAAATATTTTTATTTTTTTATATCAACTAAAAAATTACATTAAATAATAATAAAAAAATCAAAACAATACTTTTAAATTGAAGATGTAAAAAATTAAAATCAATTTAATATTAAATAAAAAAACGAAAAAGTTTGCAAGTTTATTGATGTATTTGATGAAATAATTTAAATAAATTAAACAATCTTTTACGTAAGATCTAAGCCTAAAGATTTAATTTTGGTAGAGTTTGCTAGAGTTGTTCCTAAAACTAATACCCCTTCATCATTAATTTGGTTATTTCTTTTTCATTTTATATATTCAAAACAATTTTTGGTAAGAAAATAAAAATTTGAATTTAAAAGTAAAATTATTTTAAAAAATGTTAATTTTTAAATGCTAAAATCAAAAAATAAATAAATAAATCTATCTTCTTTAACTATAAATAAATTAAATTAAAGTTAATAAATTATTATTACGTGAGATCAATTTTCAAATTTGAAAGACTTTTATTGCTTAATAAACCAGTGCTTAAAGCTGATAAACCTTAGTTTCCAATTTAATTGTTGCTTTTTTATATGAATTATAAACACAATTTAATTATTATTAAATATGATAAGAGGGACTATTGAATTAAAATAATTATTTTAAATAAATAATAGTAAAAAAAACTTATTTGTGTATTATGAAATAAAAAATAATAAATTAATTTTATAATAAGCAAGTAAAAGAGTTATCTTATCTTTAATAACATACATAAAAATAAAAATAACTAGATTTACACTAAGAAAAGTTTTAGAGACTATAAATTTGTGCAATTTGCCAAAGAAGAACCTAAAGCTTATGCTCCCTATAAGCCAATTTAATTACGACTTTTTAATAAAAATTAATAAAATTTTTTTTATTGAAATATGCTAAAATGCCTTTATTAAATAAATAACTATATAGTTAGTTAGAGTTGATTTTTTAGCTAAATTTAAAGATAAGAAGATATAAAAAGCAATTAATACATAAGATTAAGAGTTTAAGTTTAGAGATTTT